GCTGGAAAAATTAAATGAACAAATACACCTAAAGCGGCCTGCCTCGTTGTGTATAAATCCTGGCTCTTCTTACCGGCAGGGCACACGGTTGCGGAAAAAAATGACCTGAGCGTGCTCGGGCTTTTAAAATTGTGTATCCGAGTTCACCGGAGAAGTTTGAAACCACCTTGGCTTTTTTGTGTTACTTTTGTTTTTGTTTTTTCTGAAAGGGGCCACCAATATGGGATATTTTTATTTTCCTTAATTTGCCGATCTGATCTTTACCCCATTATCTTCTGCTGTGCTCCGTCCCCCAGAAGCACTCTGGTTTTCTACGCGAGGGCTGTTCAGACGTATTTTTGCGCACCCGGCCCCCTTCTGAAGACACAGTTCTGTCTGCTCTTGGAGCACCTGACTTCTGTGGCTGCAAGTCATGACGCACTTGGAGTCTGCTGAAGTACTAGGGATTGATGTGCGGCCCGTATTTCAATTCAGAGTGTAAGAAATGCAGGTTGATGGCGCGCCGGCGGGGCTCAGTGGGTTAATCGTTAGCCTTCAGCGGAGGTCATGATCTCAAGGTCCTGGGATTGAGTCCCGCAGCGGGCTCCTTGCTCAGTGGGGAGTCTGCTTCCCCCGCTCTCTCTGCTGCTCACCTTGCTTGTGCTTGCTCGCTCTCTCACTCTGTCAAATAAATAAATTAAACAAAATCCTATAGGACATAAGGAAGCAAGGAAGGGGAGAGGACGGGAGGAAGGGCACTGAGGTCAGCAGCACTTAAAAATGTGCGAGTTATCCAGGAAAGCGAGGACCAGAGGCACAGTTAACTGTGTAAGTGTCACATGGGGAAAGCCAGTGAACACTGTCCCGGGGAGTGGTCGGAACCCCTGAGGGTCCTTGGGGACCATGGAAATCTGAGGACACGTGAGCAGTAAGAGCCTGGTGCTTTACAGGTGGAGGCCACTGGATGGAGAGGTGGGGGCACTGGACAGGGAGGTGGAGACCTGGATGGGGAGCTGGGGCCACAGGCTGCCACCTGTCCCCTAACCGGGCCCCTCATATCTCACCCTTCATTCCAGTCTCAACAAAGGGCAGCCTCCTCCAGTGAAACCTTCCCGGCTGCTCCGAGCGCAGCCATCACCCTCTGCGTTGTGCTGCGGCTGTGACCGGTATGAATTTCTTTTCTTTTTTTTAAGATTTTAGTTATTTATTTGACAGAGATCACAAGTAGGCAGAGAGGCAGGCAGAGAGAGAGGGGGAAGCAGGCTCCATGCTGAGCAGAGAACCCGATGCGGGGCTCAATCCCAGGACCCTGAGATCATGACCTGAGCCGAAGGCAGAGGCTTAACCCACTGAGCCACCCAGGCGCCCCAGCCAGTATGAATTTCTACTGCCGCTTGCTTTTCCCTCCATTGCAACGACTAACACTCGCCTCCGACTGGGGAGCACTGAGTCAGCAACACGCCTTCTCGGAACCCATTTACCCCAGAACAGACAAAGTCGACTGGAGCGATGAGGGCTGACCCATGCAGAAGTGGATCGATAAGATAATCCCACGATGGCGGCAAATGTCAGCACCGGCGAGGGAGCACAAAGCATCAGCGGAAGGCAGCAGGAGCTGCACCATTTTTGTGCTGAGAATATTTTTCTAGACCTTGGGGATCTGATTCCACTAATTGTGCACTTTGTCTACAACAGAAACTTCTCTGCTGTCCATGTGATACAAATTAAAGCACAATTGGGCAAATTCCCAGCTAATTTGGTTAAAACAAAGTTCATGGGGATAACCAGTTTCCCAGGGACCTTGTAATCCATACTGTGGGTTGAATTACAGCCTTACGAGTTTTCAGAAAGGAAATTGCTTTGATCGTACTCAGAATTTCAAACCAATTACTTGAACTTGGAAAGATTGTTTTTGGCATTCATTCCAATAATATTTCCTGTGCATACACCAGCATGTGCCAGCTCCCAGGATATAAAAACGAATCACTTGTGGTTCCTGGTTTCTTGGAACTCAATGTTTAATACAGGATGGAGTTGATAAGACCCATTTCCAGTCATACAGCAGGCTAGATCTCCTGGAAAACCCTTAGGTTTGAAAAGATACCTATGTTTAAAAGTATGTTTTAAATGCATTGGCGAAATGGCATGAAGTTAAAAAAAATAATAAATCCACAGGCCAAAACCAAAATGAAAGCAGAAATCCTTGTTGGTGCCAAAAATGTCTTTCCCTCAGACCAAAGCTGGGGCCTTGGGTTCCTCCCTGCAGGGCTGGGTGGGGTACAAGGCACAGAGTCGGGGCGGGGGGAGTGGAGACAGAGCTTGGGACAGAGTTCCCACCTTTCTTGGGCCTCACCAAGGCTCCAGAGGCTCTGGCCCACAGCCCACCCCAGCTAGCAAGTCTAGCATCGACCGTTCTCAGAAAGCTAGAACGGGGAATCCATTTGCCCTGCGGAATAGGACAGCAGGGAAAGTTGCCTTTCTCAGCTTCGGTCGGAAATTTGAAGACGTCCTCCCTCTTATGTGTGTTTGTGGCGTGAATTTACACCACTTGTCCTACGGTTTGAAAACCCCATGCTGCAATTATTCTTTTTTTAAGATTTTATTTATTTGGACAGAGAGAGACAAAGCGAGAGAGGGAACAGCAGGGGGAGTGGGAGAGGGAGTAGCAGACTTCCGCTGAGCAGGGAGCCCGATGCGGGGCTTGAACCCAGGACCCCGGGATCATAAGCTGAGCCACCCAGACCCCCCCGACCCCACACTGCAGTTTTAAGGTATCTTGGTTTCCAGGTTGCTGGTGATCGGCCGAAGGAAAAATATCCCCCGTAGAGGAAGTCACCATCAGCGGGAGCCTCAAGAACTCCTACTGACCAGATTTCCAAAGAGATGAGCTGTTTCCCAGTAGAAGGAAGCAGTTGATTAATTAATTTTAAAACCAAGGGAGCAAGGTGCTACAACTGAGAATGACAGCAACATAAAATCCTCAAAGACTTCACAAACCAGAACGATCGCACTATGAATTGCGTAGAAAATAGAATTGCAGATCGATGTAGGAAAGACGTTAGGGTTTGAGCCCACGGCCATGAAGTCTTACGACATCTTCGGTGCGGAAAGGCGGTTTCATCAAAACACAGGGACAGGACTCGGGGGCAGAAAGGGCTGCTCTGGGGTCACGAGGAGCCGCCCATCATACAGTTTCAAGTTGGGAGGCGGTTAGGGATTGCATAAGCCTCGCAAGTATTTTGGAAACAAGACTTCCAGGACCCTGAGGGAGCTAGTTATTGTTGGGAAAAGTCATTTATGCTCGCTTAGTAAACCCTCAGTCAGGAGACCCTTCAGATGTGTATCGGTGGGCCGTAGGGTTGAAGGCTGATTGCCAACACGTATCCAGGGAGGTAGAGATAAGGGACGTTTCCAAAGGAATTTTTATATGTTAAAGTAGACTCGCAGGGTCCTGGGGGTTGGGCTAAGATTGCCTTTGGCCCTTAGCAAAGTGTCAGTACTGAGGCAGCTTTGTTCCTATAAGAAGGTCCCCTCTCTGTTCCAAGGGCCTGCCAGTGGGTTGTAGGTAGGAAGGAAATTTAATAACTTCTTTTGCCTTTGTTTCCCACATCATAGATTATAGAACAGCTATGTTTAAAATTATTTTAAAATAGAAGAAGTTTAATGATACAATAAAGAACATGGAAGTTTTCTAAATAAGCAAGGAAGAATTTCGGAAATGAAAAATATCATTTAAATTTGAAAATTAATGTAGAATAAAGAACAGACTCCATGTTACTGTAAAGAGAATCCATGACCTGGGAGTTAGAGCCAAAGAAATGATCTAGAATGTAACGCGTATAGACCAAGGAAGAAAAATACACCTACTAGTGAGATTAAGAGAACAAAAACAAGAATGAGACTTCGGATCTCTACATGATCGGAGTTCCAGGTGGGGACAGCGGGAACGGGAAACAGCTGAGTGGGAAGGCACGCTGGCTCCGTGGCTTCTAACGCTGTGGATGGCTACCATGCTTCCCCAGTGAGGCTCGGTGGCTCCTAAGAACATTTGGAAAACGACACTAGACAGACCAAAGTACAATTACAGCATTCAGAAGGAAGGTATTTTATAAGCTGCCAGAAGGAAACAGTGGGTCGCCATACAGGAAAGACAGCTGGACACACAACTGACTTCTGTGTCATAGCAGAAATCCAAAGTCAGAGGAAGAGTATCTCAAAGTGTTGAGGGGAAAACCTGTCCCTCTAGAATTCTTACCTGAGCAGCTGTCTTATGAAGATGAGAATAAAATGTATAAATTCTCAGGCTGAATCTGAAAGTAAACCACCAACAGATTTTCACTAACGGAAACCCTAAGGTCAGAATTTCTCGCAGGGAAGAAAAAAAAAGTCGCAGAGAGCTTCAGAGTTGCAGGAAGTGTCACAAGCAAGGACAGGAACGAGTGAAGGCGGGTCTAGACAAGTACTGGCGATAGGAAACTAAGGATGTCTAACATGTGAGGGACAATGCAGCAGTCGTGGGCAACAGTGTATAAACCTGGTGTTTACATCGTTTCAGAGCAGACACGAGGTTCATGAACTTCAGGCCATGCTGGGTATGAAACACCAAAGTCCTGAGCAACCACTGAGGGAACACAGCGGCTGTAGGACTCCTTGACGTGGGCCTGGGAAGTGAGTTTTTTGGATATGACATCAAAAATGCGGGCAGCAAAAGCAAAAATAAACAGGTGGGTACGTGAAACTAAACATCTTTTTGCGTAACAAAGGAAATCATCAAGGAAATGAAAAGGCAACCTACAGAATGGGAGAAAATATTTGCAAATCATTTTTCTGGTAAGGGGTTAAGACTAAAATATATAAGGAACGTACACGACTCAATAGCAACAAAACGGGGTGGGGGGTGTGCGAATGATCTGCTAGACATTATTCCAAAGAAGACAAGCAGATGTCTAGAGACACGTGGAAGGGCTCCGCCTCACGCATCGTCAGGAAAATGCAAATCCCAGCTGCAAGGAGAGACGGACCTCGCAGCTGTTGGGACGGCTGTCATCGAGATGAGGTAAATGCGGACGGGGCGGCAGGGCAGGGGCCCGCCCAGGGACGCCTGCTCCCGGGCATGCGGCTGTTGTGGGCAACAGCACGGAGGGTACTCAAGGTTATAAATGTGGAACCACCCTAACAAGCTCTGGGCATCTAATAAAGGGCACAGCGATTACAGTTAATAGAGACTGTGCCATGTCCACGCAGTTGCTAGGAGGGCAGGAGGGAGGCATTCTTGGCGGCGTGCGCAGAACCATAAGGACAACTGTGCGAGGTGAAGAGTGTGTTCCTTAACCGGCCTGTGGTCACCACTTTATAAAACACACATGCATCAGGTCATCCGGTGGTCCGCTCTGGATACCTACAATTTTGTCCGTTACGCCTCCATACAGCTGGAGGAGGAAATACAAATAAATAACGAAAGCGGTGAAAATAAACTCAGAGAAAGAAGAAAGTTCCACTGATAGAGGAAATCAATGAAATAAAATGGTCATAGATTTGATCAATAAAACCAGATATACTGGGTGCGCCATGTGAAGCGTCAGCTCCATTTCCACTAGGGTCATGATCTCGGGTCTGAGACGGGCCGGGGGCTCGGTGCTCTGCACAGCGTCTGCCCTCACCCGTGCGCCCCCCCTCGCGCGCTCTCTCAAATAAATAAATACATAAATAAATAAATTTTTTTTAAAGATTTTATTTATTTATTTGACAGAGAGAGATCACAAGTAGGCAGAGAGGCAGGCAGAGAGAGAGGGGGAAGCAGGCTCCCTGCTGAGCAGAGAGCCCGATGTGGGGCTCGATCCCAGGACCCTGAGATCATGACCTGAGCCGAAGGCAGCAGCTCAACCCACTGAGCCACCCAGGCGCCCAAATAAATAAAATTTTAAAAAACAACACAGATACCGCCCTTTGGGATAGACTAATATTCGCCCACCCTATTTCAGAAACAAAACAAAATACTATATCCCGTAGGCCAGCAGAGGAGGGAGACAGGTTAGGGGACAGGAGACAGGCGATCCCCCCCAGCGGTCGCACCCCACGACCTAGGCGAGGCCCGTTGTTCATAGGGAAAGCGCAGCGGGAACAGGGAACCCGGGACGTGGAAAATGGGGTCAGGAGAGGGGCAGGTCCTGCGCAGAAGGTGGGCCCCGGGCCCCCGCTGAGATGATGGCCCCGTTCTTGAAGCCAGGGGTGGCCGGAGGGCCTGCACCGGTCCCCGCCTTTGCTCCGGCTGGGCTCGGGCCGGCCGCGCGCAGAAGCCTCTCCTCTCCGCACGCGGGGCCTCGGCATCAGGATCGCCAGCAGGTCCGGGGCAGGGAGCGGAGAGGCGGGGCGCGCGGGCCGCGGCGGGGAGCCCCGTCCGGGGACGTCCGGGCTCCGCGTCTCGATTTCCTTGACGTGGGGCACGCCACGGGGCTCCGCGGACCCTCTACGGCGGGAAGGCGGCCTCTGGCTCCGGAGGGACAGACCCCCGGCTCCGCCCGTGCTGTGCCAGCGCAGGGGCCCTCCGGCGTCTGCGGGCTCCCCTCGGGGCTCCCCTCCGGCGCTGCGCATCGCATCCGGGCGCCGCAGACGGGCCCCGGCTTCTCCCGCCTCCTCTTACAGCCCAGGAAAAGGCTGAGCAGGGAGCTGGCGGGTTCAGGCCGCGAAACTCCGACTGCTGCGGGGGGTGGGACTAGAAGCTAAGAAGCCCTCTGATTCCGGGGGGAAGCCTCACGTTCGGGGCAGGAGCCAAGCTCGCAGAGACTCTGGCTGCATCTGGTTTGCTTGTGGCTGCCGCCTTGGGCGCGGGACTGAAACCTCCAAGACCCGGCTGCGGAGGGGAAACGGCGCTCATTCCCGCTCGCTGCCCCTCGGTGGTGCTCTCCCTCCCGAGCTGGCAATCTTTGCAACTCGGCTTGGCCAAGATACTCATTACACTCCGGAGAGAAATGACCAGTTGATAGATGTATAAATTATTACACCGTCTTGCAACTAGATTGGTGTTGTAAAAGGGAGAGGTTTAGAAATTGGGCCTTTGGTCTGCGTCTCGTCTGTGTATCTGTATGTGTGTCCCCGTTTGTTGTAAAAGTGACATTTTCTCTTCCTCCAGGTGGTGTTAGAACTCGTAAAAGACCCGTTTACTGGGCTGACAAGTGAGCACGTGTAAGAATTGGGCATTCTGCAACTCAGAAACAGAGCAATCAACCCAAACATTTTGCATGTTCCCATGATCTGGGAAAATATTTTGTCTTTTTTTTTTTAAGATTTTATTTTTTATTTGAGAGAGAGAGCGAGAGAGAGCATGGCCGGAGTCAGAGAGATGAGCAGATTCCCCTGGTGAGTGGGAGCTCTGACATGGACCCTGAGATCATGATCTGAGCCACCCAGGTGCCCAAAAATATTTCGTCTTAAAACTTGTATAAGGTTGTTTTTTTTGTTTGTTTTTGTTTTTTTATAAAGATTTTTATTCATTTATTCGTCAGAGAGAAAGAGCACAGAAGAACACAAGCAGGCAGAGCGGCAGGCAGAGGCAGAGAGAGAGAAGCAGGCTCCCCACCGAGCAAGGAGCCCAATCCCAGGACTCTGGGATCACGACCCAAGCCGAAGGCAGCGGCTCAACCAACTGAGCCACCCAGGCATCCCAATAAGGTTGTTTTAATTAAACTGGACATGTCTTTAGAATTATCAGCATTATATATAAAATATTATTCTGCCTATCCTCACTGAAAATTAAGTAAGTTCATGTTATCTCCATTGCAAAACTTTTCAGGAAAGAAAAAAAAATGCTAGAACTTTGTCTAATGCCTCCTGAAGTCTTATGGAGGATCTACAGAGACACAGGTGGGGACGATTTTAATAAAGGTAATTAAGGCTGCGGGAGATCGGGCGCCTGGGTGCCTCAGTCCGTTGAGTGTCTACCTTCAGCTCAGGTCATGTGATCTCGGGGTCCTGGAGCTGAATCTCGCACTGGGCTCCTTGCTCAGCGGGGAGTCTGCTTCTCCCTCTCCCGCTCTCCTGCTCATTCTCTCTCTTTTCCTCTCTTTCTCAAATAAATCAATAAAAGCTCAAAAAAACAAAAAGGACTACTAGAGATAACAATGGAAACAGCTGTGTGAGGAAAGCCAGGCTGGTTATTTAAAGAGAAGAAAGCTTAGGACAAAATCCGAATGAATATAAAAGTTGTACAAGGTTTGTGAGAAGGGAATCTTTGCTGTGTGTGTGTTTTTAAGATTTTAGTTATTCAACAGAGAGAGAGAATGTGCGCACGCACAAGCAGGGGAGGGGCAGGCAGAGGCAGAGGGAGAAGCAGGCTCCCCACAGGGCAGGGAGCCCAATGCGGGACTCGATTCTAGGACCCCGGGATCATGACCTGCGCTGAAGGCAGACTCCTAGCTGGCTGAGCCACCCAGGTGGCCCTGAAGGGAATCTTTGGAAAGAGAATTTTGTGCGTGATCAGGACTGAGACTCTGGAGATGACGGAATAAAGCAGTTCATTAGGGAGTGAGCCTCACCTGGGGAAGAGAAGGTTCGAGAGCGAGGCCAGGCACGAGCTGAGCGGTGGTCAGCAGGAGCCTTGGCTGACTGCACAGTCTGAAAGCTGGATTGCCTTCAGAACCATCCCAAGCTGGCCCAAAGGGATGGACTTTAAGAGTCGCTGGATGTGACCATCGGGGAAAGGGCATGCCCTTGGCAGGCAGCTGCCTTCAATCAAGACGACCCCTGCCGGAATCTGAGAACTGAGGGGGCAGTGTTTCCCCAGCTGGGAGTCCTTCCTTCCTGATGGGGAGGCTGGCCGGCGTGTCCCCGCCCGAGCGCAAGAACACAGATCCAGGCAGGCCGAGGACGTCCTCGTCCCAGTAAGTACATCTCAACACGGGAGAGGATGGGAAGGAAAAGGGAGGGGCTGCATGGATATATTTTTTAAAAGTCACCTTGTTGGAATGAGTGTGCTTTACTATCAGAAGTACACCTGTATAAGATTGGAATTTGAGTTTTCTGTTAAAATGAGTTTTCTTAGGTTATTGGTCTCCATGGTAAAACACAGTTTTTTCTTTATATTTAACCTGCCTAGAAAAACAGAGTTTCTATGTGTCATCTTATTAGGTCTTTGAATTCTCTCAATAGTAAAAGAGCTAAGTTTTCATAACAACTATATAATCCTCCACATTTGCCTTTAGAATCTCTTACTGCCACCTCGGCTAAATAGGTAAGTAAGTTTTGTGATAATCTATAATCTTTTTAGGCATGTGTTTTAAAACCTTTGGATAGTTCAAGGAACTCCCCAAATTTCAACTTTTTTCTTTTTTTTTTTTTAAGATTTTATTTATTTATTTGACAGAGAGAGAGCGAGAGAGGAAACATAAGCAGGGAGAGTGGGAGAGGGAGAAGCAGGCTTCCCACCAAGCAGGGGAGCCCGATGCAGGACTCAATCCCAGGACCCCGGGACCATGACCCGAGCCAAAGGCAGATGCTTAATGACTGAGCCCCCCAGGTGCCCTCTTTTTTTTTCCTTTCATTCATCTGTTAAATATTTATTGAAACTTTACCATGTCCTAATCACAGCTCTAGATACCAGGTAAAGAGTTGAAAATAAGGTAGACATGGCTCTTTGCTCTTTTTCTTTTTTTCATTTTTTTTTTTCATTATGATACTTGTACTCCTTAATCCCCACCCGCCGCCCCTCTGGTGACCATCAGTTCATTCCACTTGCTCTTTTCTTTTTGATACATCTCACTAAGTGTTGATCAATTTGTTAATTCTTGCAAAGAACCAGCTCCTAGTTTTGTTGATTTGTTCTACTGTTTTTTTTTTAATTTCTGTATCATTTATTTCTGCCCTGATCTTTATGATTTCCCTTCTACTGGCTTTAGGCTGTATTTGGCTATTGTTTTCCCAGCAACTTTAGGTGTAAGGTTAGGTTGTGTGTTTCAGATTTTTTTTGCTTCTTAAGGTAGGCCTGTATTGGTATATTAGGAACACCTTTGCCATATCCCAAAAGTTTTGGACTGTTGTGTTTTCACTTTCATTGGCTTCCACGTCTTTCTTTCTTTCTTTCTTTCTTTCTTTCTTTCTTTCTTTCTTTCTTTCTT